AGATTATCTAAAGAGCCAGATAAAATATCATGAAAACTACAAAACTTAACAAATACATGGAGAAGCATGTTGTACCTCAGTTTCCCTTTTGCAGAAAAAGGGTAGTATTTCTGCGCGTTAGTGTGTCGAGGGTAAGGTTGGTTAGGTGTTCGTCAGCACCCCAGTGGTACCTTTGGCATGTTTGAGGTAATGGAGAATTTAGTAAACAGGAATAGTGAGAGCCTTGTTTAGCTTCACTGTAAATATTGTCTGTAACCAGCAACTTTGTTTTGGTTTCGATGTCTCTACTGGAAGAGTTGATGTTGGTGTGTGTTGTTTTTTTTTTTTTAAACCAACTCCACTTGAGCATGGTTATCTTTATGTGGACAGTGGGCAGCATGTGATTCACATAATCTTTAAAGTAGTGTTTATAAACAGGTATTCCAGCACAGGTTCTGGGAGCTTTTTCTTCCCTTGTGGCCCATATTTCAGTGTTATATGTCAAGTGCTGCTCTCTGATTTGACACTTCTCCACACCTTTATATAACTGACTTCCTGAACTCAAAGTAAATGAGGCATCAACAGAGCTGTTTGCACTTGGGAACAAGAAAATGCATTCTTCTTTTTTTTTGTTGCTGGACCAACATATGCATGGTGAAGGAAAACTGGCTTTAATGAGGTACCAAATTTTCTTCGTTTAAAGCAAGCACAAGGTGCACAGTTTGTATATAGCTGCTCAGAATAGTATAGCTAAAATCAGTGTTGCCGTTAATGTGCATGGCAGAGTGATTCTCGAGAGGGTTTAGTCCATGCCGGCAGGAAGTGTGAGTCTAATTGCAAGAGGAAGTATGACTAATTGGTCAAGAGAACAACCTCGAGTACTTCTGTAGCAGGCTTTTCCCAAGTGCCTGCTGGGAGAAGCAGCTTCACAGAGGCCTTTGCAACATCAAGTGAGAGTTGTTGTAGATGAGGCTGACAGTTCCTAGATAGTCTGTTAATGTACTGTTGTCCTGGGAAAGGTGGTGGGGAATAAGACATTGCAGAACCGAATCTAAAAGTCTGTCTCTGACCAAAAACTGGGTTTTTTTTTGATTTTTTTTTTTTTTTCCTTCTTTCCCCTATAAGGTGCCTCTTTTCATTTTTGTAATTCGCCATAGTGGGAGGATCCTTTTTCAGAAGGGAATGATGAAGATTGTAAAGTATTGGCTGAGTGGTTGTGTCTATCAGTCACCACCACTGTAGTAGAACACGACTGATTTCTATTTTCTCTTTGAACCAAGGGGGACAAACTGTTTTCTGAAATTGGATAAAGAACTGTAATTGTCCAGCCTGTTTTCAGAACTGGGGGAGAAGTAAACCCCAAAAAAGGTCTTCTAAAAAAGCTGCTGCTTCCATTGCTTGAAATGGTTAGCTTATCACCTGTTTTTTCCTTAAGATGGACACTGAAATACTGCTGTGATGATAAAGACTGACAACTTACCTTCCTACAGCTGGAGAAGGTCTTTATTTATTCCCACTTCTGCCTTGAAGGTTTTATGGTGAGGATTAGTCTCAGAAGGAAGCATAGTCAACTCAACAGATAGGTATCAACTGGGAACAACTACTCAAGTGCTTGAGCTTGAGATGATCCATTCAGGAGCATTCTTTGACTGTCATGCTATTGTATTTTTAGGAACAGCTCCTAATAGTGGTGTAACTGAACAGGAAATGGAAACCAATTATTTTGTGGAGGAAGTCTCAGAATGACTCTTTGAGCAGGGTAGATACCGAATGTCTGATGTGTTAGAGCTGATCAGTTGTGATGCCTGTTTGTTCCACATACTCAGGTGACAACCTCTGCTAAACCTGATGGCGTAAGCCTAGTCTGAGGCTGCAGCTTTAGCTTTACTCTCACAGTAGGGCACGTTATTAAAGTGAATGTGGGAATATTACTTCCAAAAATGTTTGTTCTTCATAATACTGCCTGTGCTATGTTGAGAGGAGAACCAGGAGCAGCACACCTGACTATTTTTGTGATGTCTACACAGTTCGGCAGTGCCCTGTGAAACTCTGGCATAGGGACTAGAGAAGCTAGTGATAGATGGTAAATGTAAGCTTCTTGAGGAGAAAATACTTCAACTACTTCCCTGTTCTTTATTCTTCTTGAGTAAAAGTAAGTGGGAATTGACTGCACCTCTTGGAATATTAGCTTGTTGTGAAAGTGTTCTGCTTTGAAATCAGACCTTTGGAAAATTGAGAACTTTCTGTTCCACTTCAGTGTGGCTGGTTCTTAGGATCTCAGACACTGTCTCGGGGGAGTAAAAATCTCTGGCTGGAGGGATAAAACTGCCCTCTTGGCTGAGAACTGGTTTTGCTTTGAGATCGACTATCGCTTTATGTAGCTGTGAAAGTGACTGTGTTCCCTGTGTTCTGGTCCCAGCCCTGGTTGTCCTGATAAGGTGTGCTGGGGTTTCTCTGTGGGGCACATCCTTTACGGCATGGAGAAGCTGTGAGCAGAGAAGGATGCGTTTTCCTTACCCGCATGGCTTTCTTCTGGTCAGCAGCATTGGCAAATTACTGACGGCTTGCTCTGAGGCTGGGATTTTCTCAGTCATGAAGCTCAGATCCCAGGAAAGCAATCTTTAAAGCTCCCTTAAGAAGTGGGTCTGATAACTACTGGGTTGACATCTGAACCAAAAACATTGTCAGTGTAGAAGCCTACTTAAGAAGGTCATTGTACAAGTGCTGTGAGATAAAATCTTTTGTGTAGTTTAGAAACAGCTGAAGTGGTAAGGAGCCATAGTTACCAACTTTTTTTTATTAAATAAAGGCAGGAAGTGATAGATGTGTACTAAATTAAAAGTACTCTGGCCACTCTTAGCTTATGGCTGTTGTAAGGTGAAGCAGGTATTAGAACTTACAGTTTGTAGAAACACTGTGTTCTAGGTTTTGTGACCAAAATGCTCATAGGCTCATATATGAAAACCCTTTGTTATCTGCAGTTTATTGCAATTTCACATTTAGTTTTAATATGAAAGTTTACTTACTGATGCTGCTACAAGTATATAGTATGGGTTGTTATAAGCCATGTAATGCATTTTCTAGGTAATTACATTATTTTTCATCTTTATCACTTTTGCTTGAAAATATTAGCTATAAGAGCTTTAAAACTATTCCCCTACTTGAAGTTGAAGTTGATTTAAAATCGGTAATTAAAATGTTCTTTGGTTGTATGTTTTCAAAGCAAGTGTTTACTTCAGAGTTGTAATTCAACTGAGAAGTCCTTCATTTAACAGTTTTGGGCTATTGGGCCTATATTAATGAAACTTTCCACTTTCGATTTTTGTGAAAACATTTCAGAAGGGCATTTTGTAATAGAAGGTAGCATCAGTCTTGAGTACAGTGATATTAGCAAACAAAATTAGAATCTTTGACTTAAGCTGCTGTCGAAATGCAATTCCTGTATTGGTGCTTAAAAATTCAAATGTTCAAGGCACCTCCTGCTTAACATCTGGCACTCTCCACCCCAAAAAAAAGCAGCAGTATGAAACCATCATGGCCCTCAGGGTCCCCGAGGTGTTTGGTTTTTAAGGTATGGAAAAATGTGCATTCTTTGCCTCATTGCTTGAGGTGGATGTTTGGAGATCGTACTAAAGTAACTGGAAAACCAGTGTCCTGCTTGTTCCGTGCTGGGGACTGGTCAGTGATTAATCGCCTGGTGTTAGATAACGTGTGCAAACAGCTTCCTCTTAAACGCTCTGCGGGACGAGTACAAGAGATGTGGGCACGTGTCTAGGGAAAAGGGGAACGCGTACAGAGGCTGTCTTTGGGAATGGTTTGGAGGTGGATTATGTCTTTGCTAGTCCTTAAGGTGCCCAGGATGGTCCACAATGAAAAAATCGCTGAGGGTCGTCACGAGTTGCTGTACCAAAAACCCATGTAGAAAGCAGTGCAGCACTCCCCTGCTTTCTAGGTATAGCCAGCTTAGATGCTTTACTCTGTGTGCCAGTCTCCAGTGTAACTACTGCAGAGGTATACTCAGCATAAATCAGGATGGTTTGTTCCAGGTGCTTTAGCTACCTTTTTCGTTCGTGGTTTATTTGCCTTTAGTTATATTCTGAGGTAATGGGCAGAAGCTCTGTTCGTGATGCTAATAAATGGTATTGATATTTTTGACATTTGTTTTCCCTCTGTTTAGGGAGTGACAATTCCCAGTCAGAGACGCTACGTGTACTACTATAGCTACCTGTTAAAGAATCACCTGGATTACAGACCAGTGGCACTGCTGTTTCACAAGATGATGTTTGAAACAATTCCCATGTTCAGTGGCGGAACTTGCAGTAAGTACCCAGCACCTCCTTAATGTCCATTAGCTCTCATAAGGAAACACATTGGCCTTTGAACTTGGTTTGGTTATGTGACGGTTACCATTCTGTTACGTGACACGAAGAGCTGCACATCTTGATGGAGGAGAAGATCATACTTAAACACTTCACATTCCAAAATCTGCTGAGTTAGTCTGGTCTATCCGCTAGCATCTTCCCAGGTGTAGTAAGTTGAGGTCTGTGAAGGATTCGTATGGTCGTTTCACTACAGTTTTAAATTGGGAAGTATTTAACAGTTTTAAGATAAGTGATGATACATATATATATTTGGATATTTACTTTTTACTTTTAGAAAAAGCCTTTTTGGTTTTTTTAATATAGCAACTCTTGGGAAACATGAATTGCTGAAAAACATTTGCTTAATGGTGTGTTGGCTTCAAATGCAGCAACATCATTCTTCCCATGATGTTTAAATAAAAAAAAAATCGGTTCAACTGGGTAAATATCTAATTAACTCTGGAATAAATTTTTTTTTTGTATGGAGGCTTATTAATACACCTGTAAACAATTAATCTGGTTTGCTGATACACAGTGTGTTAGTAAGGAACAGCAGATTCCTTGAAACTTTGAAGTATAAATACAAATTAACTTCGGTCCTTCTGCGGGCTGCGTTACAGGGCAGTAACTGCGTAGTGTTGCGTGTTCATTTTTTGTTAGTGGAAAAAGTCTTTCTAATGGTTTTGCTATGGGTATTACTGCAATGTGTAATTAATTCCAGTGCCTCCTGTGGCTTTGATTAAAATTGCACTATTAATATTGTTGTAAGACAGTACCTGAACATGTAATGCACATAAGAAACAATCAAGCAACTTGTCAGGCTAGCTGTATTTACAGGAGGAGGAGGAAGGGAGGAGCCTCTGCCAAAAAATCTCTGCCTGTAGGGTAGAGGTGTGGAGGTTACAGATTTCTGCAATTACCACTTATTTAATGTTTTGGATAAACTGTGCTATACTTGCGAAATCAAGCTACAAGTATGAATTTCTCCCGTGAGCATTAACTTGTTTGTCTGTACCAGGCTCTTGGCATGCTATTTTCACGGTAGGTTGTTGGGATAAACAAAAGATTTGCTAAGCACCTGAGAAGATAGAGTAACTATCAACTTCAGCATCTTTGTGTACTGCAATATTTTACGTTTCTGTGGAGTTTTCAGTGATCTTTTTTTTTTCAGAATGTGAAACCAGTGGTCTGTGTTATTTCTTCAGTCATGTTATGTACTGCGATGGTAGTAATTTCACCAATACGTGCTAACTTTAAATCTGACTTCCTTGTTATTTCCTTCTGTTTTAAAGTCACTGACCGAGCAGAGTCCTGCCTCTCGGGCAAAACGAAGGGATGACAGGGTTTCACGGCTCTGAGGATTTGAGGGAGATAAGTAGCAGTTTTATAGCTAGGCTGTTCAGCAAGGTAGTGTGGATATGCTCAGGAAGGACTTCCACAGCTCTGCAGGGGTGGTTTCAGGGTGGCTACACACTCTACGGCAGGGTATGGTTCAGTGTGTATTGTCTAGAGAGCAGTCCGCATCTGATACTAATAGAGAAGTCGGGAGCAAATGCAGAAAGACTTCTTCGAGTAAGTTTCATTTAATATTTCTGGCTTTCTTGCTGGTGTCTCGCAACTTCCAAAGAAAATCTTCTTAGGCTGCACCAAAAAACCCTCATAATTTCAGCTGTTACCACTGCAGATTTAATTTGGAAAGTTACGCCATGGCTGGCACTTTTTTCGTGATGGTGATTTACAGGGTACACTTACGGTCTGTGGCTGTATAGTCTGTCAGTGCTGGTTGGTTTGTGTATTAATGTTAAATTTTGTCCTTGTTTTTGTTTGTATAACAGTTCGGTTTGTGTAAGAGTAGAAATTGGTTTGTGCTGACATGGCTGCCTACTCTGCAATTCGAAGAAGAGACGAGAGAGAATAAAACCCCTCAGTTACGTCCATATGACACAGAGATGAGAGACAATATGCAAGGAAAAGTCAAGAAGTTGTCACTTCACAGAGTCATTTCTTATTACATTAAAAAGAAACAGCAACTTTCTAGGAACTCTGTGGTTGCCTGAGAGTATTGCTACAAAGGACAGAAATCTGTTAGGTTGTTTCCAGTAACATCTAGCAAAGTTTGATGGCCTGCAGTGCTTGCCTCTTAATAGATAGTTATTTAACTTTCAAAATATCGTAGCTCATGATTGTGATTCTGATACTAATACTGTGCTTTTTGACACTTTAAGGCATTTCTTATGAAGTGACACTCTGTTTTGCCATGCAGATCCTCAGTTTGTGGTGTACCAGCTAAAGGTAAAGATATTCACCTCCCCTTCAGGACCCTCAAGACGTGAAGACAAGTATATGTACTTTGAATTCCCTCAACCTTTGCCGGTATGCGGTGATATCAAAGTGGAATTTTTCCACAAACAGAACAAGATGTTGAAAAAGGTTGGTTTTCTCACTTTTCTGTAAAATGTTGTCGAGCCAATCCTGATGCAGGGCTGGGATGTTGGTTATTCTTCAGTGATGTGTAATCACAGTATTTAACTCTTTGATGTCTAGTTTTCCCAAGGAGTGAATCTACCACAAAATGAAAGCTGAATATTTTGAGAGTTGGTGAGATTAAGTACAAAGGTTGGATAAAAATTATACTGGATATGTATTGCAGTCGTTTGGGTAGTAGTGAGTAATCTAATTGAGGAAGAAACATTCTCATTCTAAAAATAGACTTGCATACTGAGCAAGTTAACTCCAGCTGTTTTCTTCACTAAATTTTCCTAAGGTTTGAGCAGGCACAGAAGATCCTGTCTGTGTGCTGTTGGCTGATTTCTACCCATCTGTCAAATTTGGTTGAATTTCTGAGATAATTGGGTTCCTACGCACTTTGTAAAAGTACCTCTGCAATCTATTCAGCCATCTCTCAGTTCCCAGCTGTGATGCCTTGACATTAGATGTTTAGAGAATTCACTCAACTGAGAATTTTATCAGTGTCTCAACTGTGGAAAAAATTAATCTACAACTTACTTTGACACCAAAGTCAGCGAGTTCTTAAAGATGAATGCCTCATCACTGGGTTTCGTTAATTCTGGTGCTTGTGGAACTAGTTTGCATATACCAAAGTGAAAGATGAGGGTGAGACCACGTTGATTAAAGGCTACCTTTGTAAGGCTACTCCTTAAAATTCTTTATGAATAGTTGTTCGTTATTTAATGGATGATATAAAACTTAAGAGCGTTCATTGAGCGAATCCTGTGTACAGGCAAAGCATAAAAATAAGGAAATACTAGAGTGGATTGGGAGACAAACGTAAGTGATGAGATAACAGTCTCTTATAACTGTGCACGCAGGTTGTACCTACTAGATGTGTGTGTAAATACACATGCACACTATTTTGTGGACTTGTTCAGTTACAAGGTATCGTTAACTAGTTTAATGGTATAATTTCACTAGCTGCAAATGCCGTTTTCTGTTGTTTGCTATGTGTTGATGTCTGCAAAAGTTTTAAAACAGTTTCTTAATGGGAGTATTTTCTTCGGCCTGTTTAATGTTTTAGTTGGTCAATGTGGCTATATGCAATAGAGAACTGTAAAACAAAGCATTTTAAAAGTGGAAATTCTACTTTAAGTCAACATTAAAATTATTGACGTTTAAAACTGCAATGCACAGGAGCCAGTTTTGAGAACGGACTTGTAAACGAGCACCCAGATAAGTACTGTGGGCTAGACATGAGGGATGCAGGGAGGAGATGAAGCAAAACCCAAACATCTGAGACAAGGTCCTGTTTTATCCGGTCTGTCCTATCTTAACTGTGAATTTGTCATTTCTTTACCATCTTCAGTAACACGTGGATTGCGAACGGACTTTGTAGGAAACATTGTGTTGCACTGCCCCTCCCCGAGTAAGCCCCTGAAATATCAGTGCGCAGCTCGTGTGCTGGATCTTGGCTCTGTAGCACCAGGAATGAACTCCTGTATTTGTTTTATCTCTAAAGAGAGCACTGAGATCCAGTGACAGCATAAACTAGAGCTCCTCGTTATCACATACAATTTTTGTAGTGTAGTCTTCAAGAGTGTGTAAAATTGTCTGCAAAAACGCAGCAAGCGTGTTACTATGCTGTAGTTTCATTTCAGAGTGTCATATCAGCCATGGTTTCATTTCTGAAGAATCTCTTTGTAGTTTCTGAGTAGCTGGTTGATATTTTTTGTTTCCTTTTTATCTATTCTTATCAAGTACCCTAACTATTCAGGTTCTGTGGATTACAGGTAGTGCAGAGGTGCTCCTTTTCTCAGTGTTTTTGGACTGCTAGGGCCAAGAAATGCTGAGATGGTGAAACCTCTTCTTTCCACATCTGCAAGCTTTTCTGAGAAACTGTCCCTTCACCAGACGTAGTCTTTTGGAAAGAAACCACCTTGATAATGTGCCTCAAAGATCTGTTGAATCTACTGTCTAATTGCCCTCAACCTTGTGTAAGAATGGACGCCAAAAGAAAGTAGGTGTATGGGGTTACACAGTTCTGGTAAGACCACCTCTGTTAGCTCTACTGTAAATGCAGACACGAACTGAGGGCATCTGGGACTGGGTCCCTGGATCCTCTCAGATGTAAGCATGTTGGTCTGTTTTATGAAACCACTGCTGAGGTCTTCGTATTGAGAATTAGTGAAATATTCCATCTCTGATGTATGCTTTGGCACTAGAGGAGATCCTTCCACATGGTCCTTTTGACAACTTGTTATGTAAAGTGACTAAGATGGGAATAGGGCAAAGGTGAATATTTGTGGCAGAAAACCTACCTTGGCACAAAGTTGAAAACATTTCTCTGTGCAAGGGTTTCACACCTGTGCCTGTTCCTTTTCTAGATAAACTGACTCCATGCAGTTTTTGCTCAAAACCCCAAAAGAGAGGGCCTTCCACTGTGGAGAATCGTTGCATTTTGAAGATCACCTCTATGCAGTGATCACCTAATTTAATGAGGAACAGCATAATTAGGAGTAAGAGGATCTTACCTTTCAGAGATTCTGGTTTATTCACATGTGTTTATGAAAGCTGGAATTACAGGTCTGTTGCCTGTCACTGGTTCTTGCTCTTCCAAGGTTTTCTGCTAGCAGATTTATAGGTAGCTGCTAAACAAGTTTTCTTGCACACACTTAAAGGCATCACATATCTACCAGTCTGCATTTTAACTTTCCATAAGAAACCTAATCAAAAACCTAGTAATATTAATTAAAAGTGTAATTCTCGATCCATTCTGGGCCTCAGGCTGGAGAATGGCTATGTCTCATCTCTGGAGGTAAAGGAGACTTCTGTGTCCTCCTGCTGGGTCTGGTTTGGTGTTTGATACCACTGATCTCAGCTGAAGCACTTCAGATTTGCTCACCTGTACTTGCTTCCAAATTTCTTAATCCTCTGAAGAACAGTAGCATTATCTGCAGAGCTCTCTAGTATGGAGGGTCCTCCTCAACTTTGATCAAGCTCTTAGATAAAATTATTGTGCATGAAACAAACCAAACTTGAATGACCAAGTGACTTTAAGTACCTAGTGTTGCAGTGTCAGTGTGAAATCTAAAGCAGTCAAGCGTCCTGGTTTTTTAATGGCAAAACTTAATTCAAGCAAATTCACTGGCTAGCAAGAGCTGACCTCAGCCAAAGGATTATTGGTGCTGGTGAAAAGATGCTGGTAAAAGGGTGGCTGCTTTGAAAAAGTTGCCCTGCTTCAGCTCTTCCATAATCTGTGCCACCTGGCATCAGTTAATAAGTCCACAACTTTTGGTCTTTCCTTGTCTAATAAAGTTGTTTACTTTATTCTTGGACTATTTCTTCAGTATGATGTAGCTACTTCCTTTCAAGAATGAAATGCATGCTCATATGAGAACAAAATGGCTTGAGGCTCGAGAACAGTTCTTATGTATGAATTTCTGATGGATAGAAGTTATTAACTTGGGGGGTTTTTTTGAGCATGGTTTTTTGTTTCTCTGACTTGTAGCTTAGCTATTCTTCCATCTCAGACTGCTGCTGTAGTTTCTCTAGGTTTGCTTCCATGTATCTGTGTGAAGACTTTTTCTTCCAGTTGTTGATGTTGACATGATAATCTTAAAGTATTTCAGAGTATCCTTATATCACTTGGTTCAATGAGAGTCTGTTTAAAAATAATACAGAAGATCTTGTAATCTTCCTGCCTGCATAGCCTGGGGGTAAAGGAGACCTTTTTCAGGAGTCCTCCCAGTATAGATGAGAGGGAAATGTTGGTGTGGGTTTTTTCTAAGAGTCACTGCCGTTTTATACCCAGACTCTAGCGTAGGCAGGGCTGACAGCATTGTTTGAGCTGTTGGGTATGCCGTTTCATCTCTTGAGTCTGTATAGATGAGAAGTTCTGCTACACGGTTCAAGAGGACTTTGGATGATTGCTGTGTAGCAGACACTGAAGAATGAACTCTGAAAATGTCAGACGACTTTAACTGTTGATCTGAAAATGTACAAGAAGTTCCATCAGCCATGACTACAGGAAGGCTGTGAGGCCAGCATGGAACAAGTTGAAACATGATCTCCATCTTCTGATCGCTGGATAGCATCTCCAAAACTCTTAGATGGTGCTGCAAAGTGATTTTAAGTGCCTGTAGATCTCTGCAAAATTAAACTCTCAGGAGGATACAGGAACTCCTAGCTGATGGCTTAAATGATCCTGGATTTGGATCTCAGTCTGCAGTTAAAGGCAGATATTGGCTCTAGAGTGAGGTATATTTTTCTGTCAGTCTGAGAACTGAAAAACTGCACAAGGTAGGGATAAATATTGTATGTCAAAATAGTGTGATTAAATCAGCTTCTGTCTCCAGTGTCTGATACTGCACTGTAGATTTTACGATACAGATTTGGTGAAAGTAAGAAATACATCTGCAATTTTTATTTTTTTTAAGGCAGATGCCTGTGATGTAACTGGAAGTGGAGCAAAACACATTCAAAAAAAGCCTCTAGCAAATACTCATTTTCAGAAGCCTATTCATTAAATTGTGTTCCTTTGAGCACTTGATCTGGTATTCTGATTTGCTATATAAAGCCCAAGTTCAGTTCATGCCTTGATTTTTAAAATTCCTATCTTTGGCCCATATTACATCAACTTTCTTCGTTGTCTCCCAACGCTCTCTTGCAGCCTGACGCTTTAGCTGAAGCTGGCTGAATCCTCACTTTGAATAATGAGTTTTGTTTTTCAGTGAAAGCAGTGACATAGTTACCAGCCTTAAGAGCTAATTCCAAAAAACATGACCAAGTCTTCCCTCAATTTGAGTGGCCGTGCCATGATCCAGTACCCATGAACTTAGTTTATTAAGCTAATTAAGTTAGTGTAGTGGGAAAGGAAGGAAAATAACTTGATGCTTTAAAAAGCTGGAGGGAGATAAAAGGATAAATGACCAGCTCAGCCAAGTTGTATTGTTTAGTTTGAGTCCCTGAAGACCTCTGCAGATTTATCCCAAGGAAAACAGATTGAAAGATGTCTAGTGAGAAGTTTGTTGTCTGTCTTGTCTTCTCCAGACTCTATCAGTAAAGCGGAGTCCCCGCAGTTGCTTGTTCAGGCAGGCCCTTAAGTGCCAAGTAAATCCTTCCTGGTTCTGCTCTACCTGATGAAGTTTAAGGTGAGGCATGACAAGACCATGCCTTCTGCTGGCATTGGTTTACATCCAGTGGCCTTGTTTGCTTTGGCACTGTTTTCCTCCAAAACTTCAGCACTATTGGTATAAGCCATTTTCCATCCATCTGCTGCAGCGTGTTCATCAGCTTTGTCCTCTCCTCTGCTGACCTCACTGGAGGTGTCATGGGTGGCACTGAGGACCAGCACCAAAGTGCATAGCTGCTTCTGCATTGTGGTTCTGAAGAAGGATGAAACGTAGTAGTACCATCATCCCAGCTACAAGAGGTGGGATTTCCCTTAACTGTGGTCATGGTGTGGAAATGCACTTTCTTCTCTAAATCCTCACTGGAAGGATGTCCTCTTCACCAGTGGTGAGACTGCAGGTGATATATCCATCTGCTTACAGAGCTGTTGGGTGCTGGAAACATCAGCTCAGGCTTGCCTTTTCCCACTGTATATTGCAGATGGCACCTAGACTCCAAAGCCCTCTGGTTCTGTAGCTGGAAAGCTGATGCCATTCATTCTGTTTTGACCTGAACTGGTCTTTTGGTTTGAGCAGGAGTAGCTATCTCATCTCCTCGGAGGACTACGTATCTTCTGAGGGACTCATCATCTGGGCATAGGAGGAGCCGGGACCAGGTTACGCTGAAGACGTCTTCATGGGGATTTTGCCTACTGCCACTTTCTTCATGAGACATCAGCAGGCAGGCTGATGACTCGTTGGAGCATTACAGAAGAATAAACCCACTTGCCCAGGATGTTCATCCTCTACGTCCACATCCTGGGGTGGGCATTTTTAAGACCGTTTCTGAGGTAGTGTTAGTGAAGAAGAAGAGGGTGCTAAGTGTATGAGGAGTTGGGCCTGGCAAGAACCTACCGACTGCTGCCTTGCATGGATGGGCTTCAACAAAGCTTCTTCATAGATGTGGTGGCTTGAAGGGACTTGGTGGCAGTGACAAACATCTGTTAGTCTCCCAAGACAACTGTAATTACAGCATGTTAATTTGGTAGATTAACTTGATTCCCGAAGGTACTGGAGAGGCATGCGTTGAAGTGGATAACTTCTTAACTACCAGAAGTGTTTCTGACTGAATTATTTAACTTTTATCTTTGCCGTTGCACTTCCTTACAGGTTGTGGGTCTCTTAGGTGCTTACAGAAATGCACACAAGCTGGAAGTGTTTTTGTATGCTTTACCTAAAATACTGAAAATGGGTCTACTTTGGTAGAGAAGGCAGGTAGAAGTTTTTTCATCAGACACTTCTGAATTCCCAGTATTCGTGCGCTTACATGTTTTTATTAATTTGTGAAGAAGAAGAATGTAAGTTAAGCAGTAGTCCAGCTCTTCCCTGCCCCCTTCTCATTGGCCCAGGAAAATGTTGTGATGTTTTGCTGGTGCCAAATTGCCTTCAGCAGGGAGGCATACTCGTATGATACACACTAGAACCACTCTTCTGTTTCACCTCTGTTTCCCCCCCACTGCTTACCAGCAGACATGAATAGCTAGGAAGATGGAGCAGGACCTGGATTTTCCCATAAGAAATGGGAATTAGATCCTTCTGGTAAACCAAAATATGTAAATTAGCTCAGAAGGAGTCGGTTTGTGTTCTGGTCCTGTATAATATCAAGGAATGTTAGATTCTGATATGTGCTAGCTTTGTCACTCCTGCAGCTTTAACAGAAATGCAGAAATACTGAAATACTGAACACTGGCCGTTTCTGAATTGGATTTCTTGCCTTAAATCAGAGTAAAATAGAAGGTTTCATTTGTAAAGAGGAAGTAAATGTAGCTCAGTTTCAGATGGGGAAGTGCTTAATGTGCTAGGCAGGATCAACCTGCTAATGGTAGTCAATCTTGGAAACATCAACTCTTGACTGACAAAAGTATGGCAAGTGATGGAGGACTAAAGCAAGAGCATTCAGTGCATCCAACGGAGCTATTTAGCTGAGAGCTTAAAGGTGAAGTTCCTGGGCGTATCATCTTCAGAGATTGTCTAGCCAAGAGCAAAACAGTGCTGCTTGTTCAGTAGCACATATGGAGATTGACAATGACCCCGCTAGTCATAATAAGCATGTAATATACTGGCTGATATCGGCTAGTTCTCCAGTGACTTTTTAAAATCACTGATTTATATTTTGCCTCTTTGTACAGGTATACCTGTTGCAATGTTATAGTGGATAATCTAACTTGTACCGTTCCAGCTGTTAATGGTCACCTGTCAAGTTCTGCTTAAGTTGAATATACTTAAATTGTCAATGCCTCCTCCTCTCATTAAACACTTCCTGTTGCGTAGGAGGACAGCAGACACCTTCAGAGTCTGACTTTCTCTTAGTACTGGTCAGCAAACATCTGACTGGTAGAAACCATCTCTGTAAAGCAGTAATGAATCCACTACGATAGGAGTCCTGTATTTGTAGGGTGTTTTTGCTCAATTACAGCTATTTCTGTGTAAAAATAAAGAAAAGCGTTCCATTATGTGGGAAGCTATGGGGGGAATATGTTCTCTATTGATAAATATTACTTACCTAAGCTGGTTCACACAGGTTGTCTGTTGGGTTTGGCTACTGCTTGGCAAGGTATGAGCAAAAAAATCAAGTTTAACTCTTGTTTAGTTTATTCCCTTTTGCTTTTTTGTAGGTAGATTGTTTTAAAACCAACTTTTGATAAGGAGTGACTTCTGAAAGCTTAATTCATTAAAGTTGAGTTTGATTAATGCAAAGTTTTGCATATTGTCTAGGAGAATTGGTGAAAATGTCTTTGCATGCAATGTAACCAATGATGTGCTGTTGTCCAAACAAGTTTTGTCTGATATTACCGATTTGTTTTTGACCAGCTGATGATATTAGTCTAACTAATGTGCCACTAGTGAATACTAAAGCAAGCTTGTTCTTTGTGTTCTTCCTCCCCCAGGACAAAATGTTTCACTTTTGGGTAAATACATTCTTCATAGGACTGGATGAAAATTCAGACAAAGTAGAAAATGGAAGTCTAGTTGCAGATCAGGAACTTGATGGTATTTTCAGTACAGAGCGCTCAGATAATGATAAGGAATATTTAATCCTTACATTAACAAAAAACGATCTAGACAAAGCAAATAAAGACAAAGCCAACAGATATTTCTCTCCAAACTTCAAGGTCAGTATATATTATGTGTAAACAAAGCTGAAAAGCTGCATGACGTTATCTGATTTGTCTGTCTTGCCTTACGGAGGAACCATTTGAAACTGCTGTCTATGTAGAAATTGAATTCATGTATTAGTATTGCCACCACTTAGCAAAGCTTCTAGCTTTGGAAGTTTTATCTGCTTTCTGGGAAGTCGATAGATGTTCAGAGACTGGGAGTAAAGGCTTCAGGTTGTTTCAGGTATTTATCAAAGCCATTAGAGATGAGGAGTAGGAGACCCAGAGACCCAGGTAGCATCTTTCCTGTACCAGCTGCATTGCCATGAGCTCTGAGCTTTACACAGTAATTCCTGAGTTGATTTGCAGAGGTGCCTGCTTCGCGGGAATACCTTAACCTGTGAGTTTAGCTTTGAGGAATATGAGCCATTGCCAGCACAGTTTTTAAAAATGAAAAAGGCATTTTTAAGAATTTTAGCGTTTCCTAACTTGTTCATGAAATACCAGTTAGACCCCAGCAGTGCTCATTTGAAGGTAGTGGTCATAGTTGCTTGTTGGAATGTTGCTTTTAACACGCACACACAGACTTTTAACACGCACACACACGAGCACACACATAAGTCACCAGTTATAGAGTGTTTTGTTCATTCCTGTGCGCTCTTCTTACAACCTCTTTTTGTGCTCGCAGAGGTTTAGAAGGTAGGACGGTCAAAAAGCTTAGTGTGGCATGGCCCGCCGCAGTGGTATGTCCTGCTGCTCTAACTCAAGAGTACCAGTGATTGGTGCAGATATTCAGAACTCCTTCAGCTGGGCTTGAAAAACCTGCTGCTTTGCCAGTTCTTTATTTTGTCAGGGGTGGTAGTGAGAGGCTGGCTAACCTCAGAAGAGCTCGCTCTTTGTTTCCTTCTTTCCAGAGTAGGGAGAGGAGCACTCGTGTCATTCAGTGTAGCGAAAGGAGCCATGCTGTTAAAAATTGCATTGTTACCTGTGCTCGGTTAAAGTCCAGGTTCTTTTTTTAAATGTTGTTTTTTCCTTTCCCAGGTGAAGCTATTTTTCACAAAAACAGTAGAAGAGCCATCAAATCCAGAGGCTAGCAGTTCAACTTCTGTAACACCAGATGTTAGTGACAATGAACCTGATCATTATAGATACTCTGACACCACTGACTCTGATCCAGAGAATGAACCTTTTGATGAAGATCAGCATACGCAGATTACAAAAGTCTGAATATTTTTTTTATCGGAGATAAAAAAAAACACACAAAAAAAACCAACCACAAAGAGTGACAAACTTGAATAAACTGAAAAAAGGACCTTTTTAAATGGCAAAAGGACATAGTGTCAGATTACCAATTATAGGAACAATTCTTTCCTGACCAATCTTGTTTTGCCCTATAAATCTACAGGGTTTGACACTTGTCCAGTTGGAAAAAAAAAAGGTTACGTAGCTCTGATATGTATATACCTTTTTGTGTCAAAAGGACATTAAAACTTCAATTAGGAACTATAAACATGGCACTTTCCCATTTTATTCCAGTTTTATAAAAGTGGAGACAGACCTAATGTGTATACGTAGGAATTTTTCCTTTTGTGTTCTGTCACCAAACGAAGTTTCGAAAATATACAGGTTCACATCCTGCCCCTTTTTTTGCACTTGTGTGGCAACAGAAAAGTCTGCAGTTGGCTAAGAGATGTTTCTAGAAGGTTTTACTACATTCTAATGCATGTATTTTGGATGGGGGATGGAAAGTAATGCTCAGAAAGGAATATAGTCTGCTGGAGCTTGGCCTGTGTACCATATCCGGCTATTTACACGCACCTTTCTTTAGCATGCTACCGTAATTCATCCTGGACAATTGAAGAGTCGCCGCTGTCACTGCTTGTTGTTTGTGCATTTTATTTTTTTAAGTGTAATGGTGCTAGAAAAGGCAGCTAGAGGGAGTGATTCTGTATAGGGGTACAGGAATGAACCTTCACAACATCCTAAAGACCCACAAATGAAGGGAGAAAAATTATTGGGGTCACAGAAAGGAAACACAGCAACAATGACTTAACCATACAAATGTGGAGGCTATCAACTAAAATATGGGCTTGAAACAAATTGTTACAAAATTTGACAATGATTTATTAATTGTTTTTTTCTGAATTGTAATGGCTGCTCCATCTCCTGTGTAATCAAGGCCAGTGCTAAAAGTCAGATGCTATTAGTGCATACATCAGTCAACATCTTACATTTATATTATTAAGTTTTTCAATCATACTCCTGCTGTGAATACTTCATGTGCTGCCTTGCAAGCTTTTTTCTCATTAATATAAAAATATTTTGTAATGGTGCACAGGAAATTTCAATTGGAGATTCTCCAGGTTAGTGTTTGTTTTGAGGATTTATGATGCATTTATTCAATCAAACCTCTGTCAGCCGTTCCACCCTTTTGACCTTACACATTCTATTATAATGAGTTTTGCAGTTTTGCACACTTTTTTAAAAAATGTCATTAACTGTTAGGGAATTTTACTTGAATACTCAGTACCTACGATGTTTTAAAAACAGACATTACACACGATATAGAGGAAGCCAGTGTTGCAGTAAATTCTCAACACTGTGTGTCTACGAAGATGTGTACTTTTAAAAAGCAGAGCTTGTCCCAAATATATTGTTTGCTATTAAAAAAAAAAACAAACCCACAAACCACCCAACAAATTAGATTTCTAAACTGGCAGTGTTATATTATTTGTTCGTAGGGATATAGCCAGGAGTAGGGCTTGAGATTCGCTTTCGGTATATAATTGACATGCCCAGACTGCAGATGACTTAAGAGTACAACTACTGTTGCATACAAATGTGAAGTAGCTGACAAAATTGTTCTCTCTAAAGTATGCCATGAATAGCTGCCCCCAAATTGACACTTTTTTTAGGATGTAATACACCCCCCCCTCTTAATTAACTTATTGGTGCTGACATTGAAGTTCATTAGCTGTGTTCTCGCCTAGGTAACAACTGTGTATGGAATCTGTAAGGGCCAGGTACAACAGCATTAATGGTAAGAATTTGAGTGAGACAAGGCAGGACTTCCAGTAATTACTATTGGTAAACGAAGGTATAAAGTGCTTTTTTTTTCGGTATCTGTTGGTCAATTTTGCTCATCAGATTCATCATTCTAACTTCTAACAAAGCTGATAAATATTTTCTGACTTATAGGTTTAATTAGACTTTAATAGCTTAATGGATCAAGATTGCTGGTTCCAGCGCTCATTATTCCCGCTGTTATTGACGAGCAGGAGGTGGTTACTTTGGGACGTGATGTTTAACTCTTACCCTTCGACTCATGTTTCACCTTGTCTGTTTTTTAACAGTTGAAAGTTGTGTTGGCTAATAAACAAAAATGTTCATGCTTTAAAAGTATTTGGATATTGACACTGCTGCGTGTCCCACTTTGGATAATAAAAATTGGATTGGTGCGGTTCCGGTATGTAACACTGAGGGCCCGATTGGAAATCATGACACGATGGGCTTTTGCACTGTTATTTTTCCTTTGGAATGTGAAGGTTGGAATGAGGGTTTTGATTTTTTTGAATGTTACGATGTCTTTGAGAAGCCTTGCTTACGTTTTATGGTGTAGTCATTGGAAATGGAAAAATGGCATT